GGATGTTCGCGCATAGTTACATTCATAACATTATCGAAGTCGAGCGATCGAGTATAAGGTAGAACCTAAGGAATTACCATTGATTGTTGTCATAAATTAATGCGCAACATTTTCTCAACACTCCAATTTTATCGATCTCGACCCACTATTAATGGCTTATTGCTTGCTATTGCTTACTGTCACCGCCCCATTTTCCATGACGATAATGATCATTCTAACGACTCTTACCAGCTCTTATCAGCGCTATCACTCTTTCCACGGGTTTATTTTCGAGACTATGATTGCGTTTCATAAAAAAATATTTCAAAATAGGGAACACCCTATTTTTTGCGCTTGGCGAAGAACCGAGGAATTTTTTGCATTGAATAACCTGAATGCTTTTTTTTCAGAACAAGTTTTCATTGCATCACAAATACGGGCCACTCCTAAAAACTTCCCGTTTCTAGTCATCCATAACGGGAATTCGGGCTCGTGCTACTCGTCTCTCTTACCAGAGAGAACTTGAGTTAGAGCCCTTATTGAAAACGGACGCTCGGGGAGAAGGATTACCGCCTATCTTGCAACCGGTCTCACAACTGCATAAGCAAATCCCGATCAGTTATCCCGGGTTGATCAATTTTACTTTCTGTAAAAGATGGAAGAAGAGATAGGCGTCTCCTCTCGAAACGAAGAGTCTGAGCAAGGTCCTTGCTGATATGCGGTCTGTCTCTCTCTGAATAAGTTCACCATGTGGAGGGTAACTCAGCAGAGCGAAATATCACCAAAGAATTGATAAGGGCGCGTTCCAAGATTATTGCAGCGACAGAACACAAGCCTTTTCAGTTCGACGTGGAAAACGCCTCAACAGATTGGACGAAGGTATGGCTATTATGACACTTCGCGGTGTTTGACTTCACACCTTTATTTCACGTTCTTGTTGGTTTTGAGAGTCATATGCGCAAAGCGCATTGTTTTAAGAGCGGCTTCCTTGCCGGCGGAGATACTTGTTTTAGGGATTTTTCTGTGGCTGCCCACGGCCTGGAAACTCCGACTTTTTTCATCGTGGTGTGGATTCCAGAGGTACCAAAAAGTGCCACCTAGAAACGACTCCCATATATTCAACAACACCAATCTCGAATTCCTTGATTCTTGAACAAATATAGATCTCAATTTAATAACTCAGATGACATCATTCCAAGACGGCATTAATAATATTATGAATAGTGGAGGACCATCTTCATTATTGAGAAGTAGTAAAATTCTTTCTTTTGTCATGAAATTTCCCGACAAACTGTGTGTAGTCATCTTTGTGAAAAGGTGAAAATCCGTTCCGAAGAAAATATTTTAATATTCTTGATCAAAATGTCTCCAGAAAATCACTACCAATTAGTATCCTTATGAGAAATCCAAAGCGGGCACCGTATTTTCAAATCCACGAAATTTCGGGATACCAGAGATTTGGTCGTAATACCTGTATATATGAAGGTCATTAGAGAGAAAGAATGAGATATCGCTATTTAGTTAGATGATCAACTGCGATATTGTTTGGGAGGGAATATGTATAGAAATTGGAAACTACTCAACTCATGATCCTAGTGACAGCTGCCATAACTTACATTTTCTCTTGTCAAGCAAGAACTCACAAGCACGACTACTGGTAACACAGCAGGGTGAAGAAACCATGGTAGCCTTCAGTGATATTCAATGGGTCTTGCATCATTCGATATCGGTAATACATAGTGTGGATGATCAATACTTCTACGTACAGAGATAGGGCGGCGAGAATATTATGAGCAGCAAAGCATGTCGAGGGGCCGAATGAACGGCACGGACCTATTGGAAGAAGCGCTGTTACTGAAGTACTACCAAGCAACCTGCAATATTTTCATTAGTTGACTCATCACGTCATTTATTCTAAGAAAATAAGCCGCTAAACTCGGTGTGTCAGTTGGTATGTACTCTCGTTTCAGAAAGTTCTGTCGTTTTCCACCCCTAATTTTAAATGCACGTATCTCGGCTTAACTAACCTTTCGAGTTGATTAAAAAACCATTTGAAAGCGCGAATCTTCTATAAGAAGCCGTTCAACTGGGTACGTTTGTTTGGAATGCTGGACCTCTGGAGGCGATGAACTGAGGGAAGGTCGTTTTAGCATCATGTTGGGTTTTGATGTATTTCTCTTCAAGGAAGCTATCGAGATCGTCAGAAATTTGACAGTAGATAGTTCAAAGGTCTACTAAGTAAGATGTTCGCAGAACACTCTGAAGTTCAGCTGGTACAACTTGTGAAGGGTTGGCGTGCGATGTGCGTCCAAGACACCTTTCAGGGATGTGTCCACCCTTTATAATGAGGAATGCTGGACACCATGTCTTGGAGTTTTTGGTGAATTTTGACGTAATGTTAAGACTGCTTTTCCACTGTAACAGTTCCAGGTTATACGGAAGAACATGGCCAGCCGCTGACCTGATGAAAGTTGCCATAACCCTCCTTCAGCACAGTTTAAGTTTTGCAAAGTTTGTAGAGCTTGATCGCCGTCGATCTATTCAGCAAAGCTTCGTGGGCTGTAGAGAAGAATCCGCTCTTTATTGTACGTCGCAAATCTGTAGAGAAACGAGTCGCTTTTATCACATAAAACAAGCGACAATTTGATGGACGACCCTTCAAATTGGTGATTTGTCGCGGCACGCCCCTATCAAATTTTTTGGACTTTCCAGCTTCTTCCGTATAGCTTGGCTGTACAAACCATATACGCCCAGGTTGGGCAGAACCTCCTATGGTCTTACGCACGAGTGCCTCAATCAGAACTTTTGGCTAATCGGTGACAACGTCCGATATCCGACCACCACTCTCATCATATTCAAGGCTCTCGCTTTCGTTACAATAACTTTTTGAACTACTGCTTCTGAGCACATTTATTGCGAATCTAGGCCAAGTGCATCGTTAATATCTTAAACTGTTCCCACAGAGCGCTAGAGGTAAGACTCATTGTCTCTTGTTGGCGCGAAGATAGGGCCGCACAGAGGAAGTTTTTTCAAGGAATATTCTCCGCAAGGTGGGGTCGAACGACCTCAGGAAAAAAGCAGACTTTGTCTTGCTTTACTTTCAAATTGAACGCGTCGCCATTACGCTGTAGATGTTGATCTTCTTCAGTGACCCTAGTATTACTGGGCGGCGGTTCCCAGCGCAAGGTCACTCTCGTGCTCCACCAATATCTCGGAAGGGTCGGACTCAAGGAGGTTCGGCTTTTGCTGTCAGAACTCCCGAATCCCTTCATGCTAGGCTACTGCTTTTTGGAGATCTTGCTAGTACACTTCACCCAGTCATGACGATGTCAGATCGTGTGTGGAGCTGTTTCGAGCTCAGAGCATACAAGATACAAACTAAATATTTTAAAATCTTTACAACTCTACGTAGATGTCTACATTCCATCATTTTAACAAGTCGGACATGCTCTAGCAAATGGCGACTAGTTTGTCCAGATCCACCCTCAGTGGCGCTGGGTACAGCAGTGAGATTGCCAGTTGAGGGGTAGTTGGAGTGTGGGTCATCTTCAACTAAAAAAGCCAACCTCTCGATAGAGTGACAAGCAGACCGTGGATTGAGGGAGCGTGCCCTCGCCTATCTGCTGGTTGATTCTCTATGTTGTTGGGCGTTTGAAAGATCCTAATCAGAAGTGATTAAGAAGGGAGCTCAAAAATAGGTTCCAGAAAAATTGAAATATCAGCCACGGAAGGCAGCATGTAAATGGGCTGAGTAATCAGAAGCTGTCGTGGGTCTGTCCAAAGAATCTCTTCTTTCATTGTACGTCGCAAAGTAAAAAAGCGAGTCGCTTTCATCACATAAAACAAGCGACAATTTGATGGACGACCCTTCAAATTGGTGATTTGTCGCGGCACGCCACCTATCAAATTTTTTAGACTTTCCAGCTTCTTCCGTATAGCTTGGCTGTACAAACCATATACGCCCACGTTGGGCAGAACCTCCTCTATGGTCTTACGCACGAGTGCTTCAATCAGAACTTTTGGCTAATCGGAGACAACCGTCCGATATCCGACCACTACTCTCATCATATTCAAGGCTCTCGCCTTCGTTACAATAAATTTTTTAACTACTGCTTCTGAGCACATTTATTGCAAATCTAGGCCCAAAGCATCGTTAATATCTTGAACTGTTCCCGCCACTTTCAGGTCTATTTAAAGCTAGAAAAAGAAAGTCATGCCAACTTGCTCATCGAGTATACCGCATTCAAAGCTTTGAAAAAGCTATAAGAAAATACTTTAGGACAAAGTTGAGCATTGGATAGAGCTGGAAAAGTTCTTCAAAATGATATCAACATCAATTGCAGCTTTCCCAGATTTCAAGGGAAATAAAGCATCCAAAAGTGGAGTGGTCAGAAAACGACAGAACTTTCTGAAAGACCTAATATGTACAAGAAACTGAGCGTTTTTAGACTATTTTATACCTTTGAAAATAATC